ACGAGACGGGCAATACCGCTGACTTTGTCAGGGGATTGCGCCGTCACTTCGACGATTTGCGTCCGGTCAAGGGAACGCGTCACGGAGAGCGGAAGCCTTTTGTATTCAAGGACTTGGCCACAGCGGAGCATGTGTTCGTTCGACACGACGGACCAAGGGCAATGTTACAACCGTTCATATAACGGCCCTTACCCGGTGATCAGCCGCACCGACAAAGTCTTTGTTGTGCGAATTAAGGGATTACACCACAGTAGAAATTTCAAAAAATCGATTTTTTTTTATTGGCTTAAAAAATTGTTTGAACCCTCTAAAATAAGAAACAAACGGTTTTATATCTGCCAGAAATCGTTTTCATTGAAATTTCGAGCTCTTTCTCGACCCCTCCCGACTGCTCCGAAACGACTATCTGCGGTACATACGATACCTGCTTGTCGGGTACAGCATTATGTCTTACCATTCGATTTTTAACTTCTCTAATATACTAATAGATGTCGTCAGAAACATTTTCAAGCATTTTGAACACAAAGTACGTTAGTACAGCGTCCTTTGTCGTTGAGAAAAGACGTAAGCTGTGCGTGGAAGTAAATCGAAATCACGATTTTCTTTTGCAGTGCTAATTTTTCACACGTTATTTGTAGCCTTGACACTTATGTGAGTTACAATGAGTAAAAAGAAAGTATATGCAAGCCATAAAGGCTCAAAAATATCATATCAGACGCGGCGACGGAGCAACGTGACGAAACGACGACCGCCGAACAGATATGAAGCAGAGGAAGATTCGGCCGGTGTCAGCGCTTCGGCAAAGAAATTGAAAGTGGATACTGACGATATCGATATACAAAGTGAATTTGGTTACCGAATTATAAACTTTTTTGCCGTTTTCTCTGCCATTTCGGAATATGTGAAGTGCAAAACATGCAACTCTGATATACGATTTCTCGAATCAGGTACGCGGGGTTTAGGCTTCAAAATAACCGTCTGTTGCCCGAATTGTCCAAAAGTTGAAATCCCGAGTTGTCCATTCATACGAAATGGATATGAAATTAACCGTAGGATTGTACTAACAATGCGACTATTAGGAGTGGGACTAGCTGGAATAATGAAATTCTGCGCATTTATGGAATTGCCACGGCCTATATTTCAAAGTTGTTACGACCGTGCAGTAAATATGATTTTGATCGCAACGAAAGCCGTGCGAGACTGTAGTATGAAAAAGGCAGCAGAAGATGAGAAGAAGAAAAGTGAAGAAAATGGATTGCATACAGGAATAACTGTATCTGGCGATGGTTCCTGGAGAAAACGAGGATTTTCGTCTCTTTTCGGGATCACATCATTGATCGGATGGTTTACAGGGAAAATTGTTGACATTGAAGTGAAATCGAAATACTGTAAAGCTTGCGAGCACTGGAAAAATAAATTAGATACTGCTGAGTATGAAGAATGGCTCGAAACTCATGCCGATCAATGTCAGTCGAACCATGAAGGCTCATCAGGTAAAATGGAGGTAGATGCTGTCATCGAGATGTTTCAACGTTCCGAAGCTTTACACGGACTTAAATACGCAAATTATATAGGTGATGGTGACAGTAAAACTTTCAAGGGCATATTGGAAGCAAAACCGTATGAAAATTTTGAAGTATCAAAAAAAGAATGTATTGATCATGTACAAAAACGAATGGGCACTCGGTTGAGAAATTTGAGAAAAAAAACAAAAAATCTTGGTGGAAAAGGAAAATTAACTATGAAATTAATTGATCAGTTAACAATTTATTATGGCTTGGCCATTCGACGGAATTCAAACTCGTTGGAAAATATGAAAAATGAAATCTGGGCGACATTATTTCATAAAATGTCAACTGACGAAAATCCACAGCACGAAAAATGCTCAGAGTCTTGGTGCGAATGGAAGAAGGCGCAAGCAACGGGTTCCTTAGACTCCTTTCATCATAAGCCGGCACTATCGAACGAAGTTTTTGAAGCCATCAGACCAATCTACGAGGATTTGAGCCGTGACGAGTTGCTGAATCGTTGCTTGGGAGGCTATACGCAGAACAGCAACGAAAGTTTCAATTCTACAGTCTGGCACTTGGCTCCTAAAAATTATTCAAGCGGAAAGAAAATATTAGAAATAGCAAGTGACATTGCTGTTTGTAATTTTAATGATGGACTGATAAACGTCTTAAGAATTATGAAAGTGATGGACATGAACATTGGACCACAATCCTACAACTTCTGCTTAGAGTCGGACACTGCTCGAATACAACGCGCGGAGCGCTCTTTGACGGACGCAGCGAAAGAGGCTCGCTCCAGCATAAAAGCGTCCAGGAAAGAAAACGAGGAGGAGTTTTGCAACTTGGAAGGTCAGCTTTACGGTGCTGGAATAGCAGATTAATGGTAAAAAATTTTTAATAGTCAAATTTTTTATTTTATCATGTTCGAAACACGAGTCAAAACTTTAAACACGTTTTTCTCGAAACACGTTTTTTCAAATCGGCACGCAGCATAACTCAAACAATTTTCTATTTTTTCACTCCAAATTTATATCACATCTTTAAAACAACATTTCGCATAGAAATACGTAGCCGATTTTCGATA